GGACGTCATCGACGATCAATTCTCGGACTATGAGTGGATCATCAACGGTTATCCACCCGCACCACCTCCGCCTCCGACTAACTTCCCAACAATGACGTTCCTCAGCTCGTCCTTCCTAATGGCTACCTTATTTCTAGTGTGGACGATCTTTCTCCGCTCAACCTAGATTCGTAGGGAAGAGAGTAAATCCTCAAAGTGAACAACTCCTTATTAACTTTTGGATTTGTGTGTTAAGCTCTTACATTACTTCGCCTTTGTATTTGATTAAATTGTCTTGATTAATCTTCATACAACTCTTTGCCTTAGCATGTGAAATACTGAAAATTCTTGTAACTAACTTGGAATTGACGCATAATTTTATAACGGTCAAACTTTTAGTAAATTCTCTTTATAATCTTCTGTAACTCCAAACTTGCATCACATCAGTAAATCTGCCTTCGTCAAAGCTGTTTTGGATATATGTAGTGAAAAAAAAAACTTCATCCTTGAAGGTTTGGTTGAGAAAATTGGCTAGCCACTACAAAGCATCCAAAATCTTATTCTTTGAGTTGGTTTTATAGTAGTAATGTTTGTTAGGTCACGAGATATTTTTGGAATATACCATCAACAGTAAATTCAATCATACCTTCTTGAATAGCCTCAAGAACAAATTCTATGGAAGTATCTGATGGAGGATTGGTCCGATTGGATGTGGACACACATGGAAATGGTGGAAAGAGAGAAAATTCCAAGGAATTGATTGTAGACACATGAAATAAGATCAAGTTAGCTACATTTAAAATTCGATTAATAATATTATTTTTATAATTTTTAATTTAGAGGCATTAGTTCTAATATGTTGTAAAATTTTAAATGGTCTTGACTTCATCACATTCAATTCTTAAAGGTCATTGATAGAAGTTTTTTTTGGATTTAAATGCACCATGATTTTATCATCAAGTTTGATTACACATATATTTTGTTCACATTAGCAGAAAACTTGTAATTAGCATAGTAGCCAGCTTTTTTCAAATATCCTCATGCAAATTGTGTATATACTTAATACTTTGCGAATCTACTAGAGCTTAGGCTCTATAGGATGATTAATAATATCTATAGGCTTTCTGGGTTGATACCTTATGACAATTTCAAATAGAATCGTGCCAAAAACCTATTAATAGACAAATTTCCTGCTAATTAAGTCACAGTGTCAAATCCCATCCATGATTTTTTATCCGACAACATAACATGTCTTCTAATATTTTGTTTACTACATTTTTCCATAAGTTTGTGGATGAAAATTAGTTGAAACCTAATTTATATTCCCATTTTCTTCTCAAGTGTTTTAAAAAAATAATTGATTGATTCTTGATTAAAAAAAAACACAGTTTGGTCATGTGAGATGCATTAGCAATTTTATAAATCTTATATTTTTAGACAATATGTTTTATATATTATTTTTGGCTTGGCCAAAAATACCCATCCTTTGTTATTGTAATTATCTTATCCCTACCAAAATTTTAGCAACACTCCCAACATATTGTCATAAAATTAGAAAATCTCTGGGTGATGAAACAAGAATACAAAGATGTATACCGTTGAATAAATAAACATATTTGTTATGTAGTTTTTGCTTAACTGAGAAATTATTATTTAAGTTTGATAAATCTTATCGAAATCCTCACAAGTAATATACCTTTCTTATATATATAATCAAAATTAGTCACCTTAATCTGCATTGCATGTAAAATTGCAAAAACTTCTAAGCATGCAGTACTTTATTCTCAATTCTAACACAATACTTGAATACATAAGAATATTCCTATAAAAATTCAACCCACATAGTATATCTATATTCCAACTTCTTTTAGGAACTCAAATATTTAAAGCTTTGATGGTCAGAATATAATAGAAGCTCTTTCGCTAATAAATAGTATCTCTAACAACGAAGATCTTGTACAACAAGATAGGGTTTTCTATCATATTTAAATTATTATTTTTAGCTTCAATCAATATTTTACTGTAGAATGCAATAAGATGTTCTTCACTCAACACTAATCCAATACAACGCTAGATGCGTCACAAGAAATCATAAGTTTTTTTATTAAAAGTGAGCAGCTTATGATCATATACATTATTAAGTCTTTTTTTTTAAATATCAATAAGAGCATGGTTAATAGATTTATACCATTTTTAATTGGAGTCGTAATAATATCAAATCTTTTAAGATTCATCTATAAAAGTAGCCAAATCATGAAAATTTTGAATTTCATATGTATTAATAGATTTTGACCAATTATTCATCGCTTTAATCTTATTAGAATCAATTTATAGTTCTTATAAATTAAATTATCATGAATTGATCAATAAGAAACATTCCAATAAAAGGTCGTAAGATATGGTTCTTTATTATTATGAAGGTACAAGGTGCCTTGGTTAATTCTATAATGCATATTTGATTTTAAAAATAACATTTCACTTGTCACATTCCCTTATTCTAATATGATGATAGCCGCTTCTTAAATCATTTTTAGAAAATATTACAATACTCATTATATCTAGCACATCATCTAAACAAGGCATGTAAAATTTATATTTTATGATGATTTTGTTAATGACTCTATTGCTTACACACATTCACCAAATACTATCTTTCTTAGCTGCAAGTAAAGAAGGTACGATGCATGAATTCTTGCCCTTTATGATCAATCCCTTTTAAGTAACTCATTAACTTATCTCTTATGTTTATTATGCTAGGATTCATCTAATAATTAGGTAATCTAGATAATGATGACTATGAACTAAATTAATAACATATTATATGCTTCTTAATGATGTTTATTCATTAAGAAGTTTGTCTGAATAAAAATCTTTAAAATCAACTAATATTTAATTAACATTTTGATAGGAAACACTTCTAGATTGCAAATATTTCCTATCAATCTTTGGAAAAACAGAGAGAAAACTCTTCCCAACTCCAATGAAAATCAGGGAAAACAATAGATTTTAATGCAAAAATCAGTTAACGGAAGAAAAACAAACAAGATACAAGTGATCCTTAATTCGAGAGAAGGATCTCTCTCTCTCAATCACTAGACGCCGCTAGAGCCCAAGACAAATTAAGAGATCTCAAATTTCAGCCAAATTCAAGATGCCCTAACCCTATAAAAACAAACTGTTTAATGCATACAATTCAAAAAAGAAAAAAAAAAAGAAATAAAAATAAAAAAATTAATGCATACAATTCAAAAGGAAATATCTAAACAGTCCTTACATTCAATTTTCCTCCTAAACTCCCTTAAAAAATCTTCCTAAATGGCTCTGTGAGGATCGGCAGTCGGATCACGCCTACAGAAAGAGGTGGACTCTTCTGCCTCTGTTCCACTGGGCCAGTCCACGCGGAACCGGCTGGATCGGTCTAACACATTTTTAGACATTCCTTGCGTACTCTTTTCTCAAATATATGTTTAATTAGTATATGCAATAACTCATTCACTTGTCTGGAGTTGCTTTATTTTTTTGCATGCTCAGCTTTACCTGTAGGTTTCAAGATTACTCTATTGCATTTACCCTAAAAAATATGAATTTGACCTCCAAAAAAGAGTAACATCTAAATCGTGCAAGTAAGATCTATCCAAAATAACACGAGGTACATCTATGACTATGAGCAGCACATTATATTAGATTGTATTATCATACATAGCTAGTTGAGTCATAATTAAACATTTTAGAGTGAAATAATCAAGTTTGTGAAAACCAGACCGGACAACGAACCGGAAGAGGGAGAGGTTCACGGTTCGACCGGTCGAATCGGGGTCGAACCGGATGACGTAATAAATAATAATATTATTAAATTTTAATAAAATAAAAATCATATAATATAAGTATATGAGCATTTAATAATATTTATAAAATTTTAAAATATATAATAAAATTTTATACATATAAATATCATTTAAGAATAATATATTTATAAGAATAATACTTAATATAATATACACATCATCATAGGGGGAGTTTGAGGATGTTTCCTTGAACCCTTTATAAAGTGAGAAGTACACTCCTTTGCAAAATAAATTATGTGACGTATTTAAGATAACTTTCATATATTATGATGAATTAATAATCATATTTAATAAAAATATTTTATAAAAGTTTAAGAAAATTTAATAAACTAAAATATGTTTCTAGAATTTTAATTAAAATAGAAATACAATTTTTTTATAAACCGGTCGGTTCTTTCCAGCCCGGACTGGTTCAACGGTTGAACCGCCGGTTCTATCCGGTTTGATCCGGTCCGATGCAGAGCTGGTTCTGAAGCTCGATCGGACCGGCCACCAGACTAGTTCACAGTTGAACAGGTTGAACCGGCCGGTCCGGTCCGGTTTTCAAAATAGTGGAAATAATAGTTTTAACTGCTAATGCTACTTTGCATGATTGTGGATGTTGTTTATGTTTCAAATTCATGTGATCTAAGGCAAACTTTTGTTTGCAAAGCTTCTTCTCATTTCTGAAATATGATTGAAAAATTGTAGTTTTTCTTCTAATCATATTCAACTTTAGGAGTAGTAGGGACACAATGCAAAAACTTTAGGAGTTATCCATTAAATTCAAATGTCATAAAAAAAACATTCTTTTGATTCTCTTTCTCCACATTGCGCAAATTTCTGTTTGGACACTCATTTGTTGCTGTTATTTGTTGTTGTTACTGAAATCTTAGACCCAGTTGCATATGCTATTATGATTCCACTAATTAAGTATTTTTTCTCAATTCTTATTAGATTTATTTGCTATTGTAAGATCTTTAATTTATTATGAAATCAAATATTTGCATGATTTGCAATTTGTCATTTATTCCCCAATGCGTATACTCAGTTTCAGGTTTTCTTATGCTATTTATAAATGTTGAACAAAAATAGAATAACACGAAGGTCGTTAGAAAATGAAGGCTTTCTTCCAACTTTTCTTTCCAATCTGTCACTTCCACCCTTCTAATGATTTTCTATTTGCTTTGACATCAGGATGCTGCTAACCGGTTGTATGCCGGATGATGAATCTTACAATTTGGTTATTGGTCTTCTACTCTTGAAGAATCAAATTGATTCTGCATTGAAATACTTGGAAATGCTTCTCAAATCTGGCTTCATGCTCTCATCAAGTGTATTTACAGAATATGTACAAAGCTGTGTTAGCACTGGGAAGTTGGACACATTAGCTTTAATTATAGAAAAATGCAAGGTATGTATTGAGTTTCATTAACATAGAAAGATTCGGCCAAAAAAGAGTTTTTCATGTTTCTTAGTATTTCCTGCAAGTTTTTGAACGCTTTGTTCTTCGTGCTGATTAGTTTCCACTGGAAATTCTCAGACAACCGATCAAAACAAAGCCTTATCTCCGACTTGGAAACTGTGCAACTACATTGCAGACGTTGCAATGCAAGCGGATCATAGTAAACTTGCTTTCTTTGCCTTGGAATTTTTGGCTCGTTGGATAGCTCGTGGTGAGAATGCACGCCCTCCTATTCTTCTTTCCGTGGATGAAGGATTGGTAGCTTCAGCCCTTGCTACTGCAGGCAGAACGTTTGATTCTACTCTTATAGATGCTTCTTGGTCTATACTGAAGCGCTCTCTTCGCCAAAAGAGGGCACCAAATCCAGAGACTTATCTTGCAAAAATTTATGCATATTCGTCCCTAGGAAATCTGCAACGTGCTTTTAGTACTCTGAATGAGCTCGAAACAACCTATGGGAACTCTGAGGATGTTGATAATGAGTTGTTTTCTCCTTTTACTTCTTTAGGCCCGTTGGTTACTGCTTGCTGCAAGAATGGATTCTCAACTTTGGACTCGGTATGATTTTGGTCCGTTTGTAGTTCGATTCTTTTTTCATGCTTGTCAGCTCATATCTCTTGCAAAATGTATAATTAAGTTGTACTACTGTGTGCTTTGGTTCTTTTGCTAGTCTAGTTATGCTTTTATGCATTTTAATGTTTTTTCTTTTTATTTGTTTAAAAAATACGAATATTATGGTACTTTTATTCTTTGTCATGAAATTTTTGTGCCGTAAATTTACTTCATATTATTCTGCGCATCATAAAGGATTGGTTTGGAAACGATCAGGTCTTGAAGTCATTCTGTCGTTTGCAATCCAAATCTGATGGTTCTATTCAATCTTGATTTGGCCTAGCTCTCTAATTTTGATTCAAGCCAGGTCTTTTTTTTGTCTATTCAAGCTGATAATTCATGTGCTTTTTAGATCAAGTTTTTTTCTCCTAAAACATATTTTGGTTACATCCATCCATCCATCCATTCATGCATATATGCATATAAAAGCTGCATTCATGAGATATGCATTAATGCAAGTATAATTAAATGCTTCTACTACATGTTCGAACACTTCAATCTGATTTGAGTTAGCTCCATTCAATTCAAGTCCAACTCAGTCCAAGCTTTATTCAGTCCATCGTAATATAACTCAAATTCGATTCTAGCAAAAAGCATTCTACTTTTGGTGGGATCTTCAATCTCCGAATCAAACTCTTAGCCTTATTGGAACTATAGTATTGGCTTTTTAAAGTTTTTCCTGATTGAATATGCCTCTCTCACATGTGAAATTATTTTGTGCGGAGACCGGACGCAGAACGACGTCCGGAGATCAATCAGAATGCGCTACTTCAGCAGTACCGAGTTACGGTACCGAGCAAGAGGTGACGTGACATATTTTGATTGGTCTTCAGACGGCATTCGACGTCCGCATATAATAATTAATCCTCTCACACATAGCCTTTATATCGATGCAACATACAAGATTGAAGAGATCACTTTTCTTGTATTATTTTGGCTGGTATAGTAATATTTTAGGTATTGTAACTTTAGTCAATTTATTTTTGGTTTCATGTTATACTGGTCTTTCTATAATTTTTCTGCTGCTTGCTTAATTACATCACAGGTTTATGTTCAGTTGGAGAATTTAAGTAATTCAGATCCTCCTTACAAGTCGGTTGCTGCTCTCAATTGTGTTGTATTAGGTTGTGCTAACATATGGGATCTCGACCGGGCATATGAGACGTTTGAGGCAATAGCTGAAAAGATTGGATTAACACCTGATATACATTCATACAATGCTCTCATGTGCGCATTTGGAAAAGTTAAAAAGGTATCTTTCATACAATATTCTTTCACTAGATTTTCCTCTAAATATTATAATTACTTCTAATTTATGCAATTTTCAACTTTATTCTTGTGACAGACATCAGAGGCTTGTAAAGTTTTTGAGCATTTAGTCAGTTTGAGCGTCAAACCTAATGCCACAACATATACATTGCTTGTGGATGCACATCTTGCCAACCGAGATCCCAAAGCTGCTCTTCTTGTGATAGATGAAATGGTATGCTGCAAGTTTTCACTAATATTCATATTACAGTCATCTCAAAATAAATGTAATTGAAGTACAACTCATCTCAATGAGAAATTATTATGTGCGGTCACAGGATACCGTCCGGAGGCGAATTAGGATAGCCCACATCACTTTTTTTGATGTGTACCGATACTGTGTACTGAGTGACGTGATGCATCCTGATTTGTCTCCAGACGGTCTTGTGACCGCACGTATCCATCTCAATACATATTTTATTCCATTTTCATCATCATGGTTGCTACCTTGTCACTGCCAGGTTGATGCAGGATTCACACCCTCAAAGGAGATGCTTAAGAAGGTCCGAAGACGATGCTCTCGTGAGTTAGACGTCGATAGTGATGAGCGGTTACAATCTCGGGTTCATCAATTCGGTTATATGATGGGCGGTGAAGGTCGAAGGGAGCTGCTTTATAACCTAAATTATGGATCAAACTACTAGGCCAATGCTAATTTTTAAGGTAATATTCTATGTTCAATTCATCATTATGTGGTCTGGTTAGAATCTTTTTTTTTATATATATCTTCTATTGCTATGAAAATCCTCTAGTAAACATTTTGCTTTCCTATTCATAGTGAGTTTCTTTTTCCATATTATGCAATAATAAAATTTTGGGTGATTTATATGCATACCACAAAATTCTTAAATTTTTACATATCTAACTCAATTTTTTATGTTTATTTATATATCACTTTAATATTTAAATTGCATCAAAACATACGTATAGAAATACGGGTATGAAATTTATTATTAATATATTTTTGATGTGATTTATGTTTTGTTTGTGATAGCTTTTTTGCTGTTTTTTAAAACAGTTTTCTAGTACAAAAATTTGGTGTCCCGCCCAAGAAAGAGACCCAAGTCCTAGTAACCCCGCTAAGTGGTGATTCAACATAGATTCTACATCTTGGAACCAAGCCAATTTGGGAGCGGCTTTGTGATAATGGAACCAACCAGCAAAAAGCATTAACGATGCAAAGACCAATGCACCAATTGCGGTACAATAGAGTTGTAATTCACTAGTGATTCCGGATGCTCGCCAAATCTGAAAAAAAAAAAAAAAACAGGGATTATTTGTATTCCTCGGAAGCCATCTCCCACAACATCCCCATTCAATATTTCTTGACCTACTACTGGCCAAACTACTTGGACATTGGTTGCAATATGAGTAGGATCACTTAAAAAGTAAATATCCGGAATGCATATACTTAAAATTTTTGTGATATTTGTAAATACTCCTATAGTTTATTTTTTTTATTTATGCAGTAAGTGACATTTATGTTTCTTTTGATTTTATCAGGTTTCAGTCTGCCTAATCCCTGATGGTTCATTAGAAGAAAAAGAAAGGAAGAAAATTCCTGAATGTAAATTATTATCTATATTCAATTTTGACTACTTTAAAGGTCAGATTTAGGACACCTCATCAGCCATATTCTTCCTGGCAATCACAAGGCATCGTAATATTTCACTCTTCTGCTTCTTTCTTCGGCCCTACTTAGAATTATTTCCCTTATTCTAAATGGCACTATCAATTGTTATTATTTATGTACATTTTAAGTCTTTTCCCGCACATTTGTGCTATGTGATAGTATCCTTCTCAATACTGAATTGCACTGTGGGGTTAAACATTAACAATTATTATAGAAAATTTATAAAAATATAACAAAGGTCAACCCCGATTGCCACAGCAATCCGAAAAGCCACCCCAAAATTGAACTTGGCCATTCAAGGGCAAGTAATGAACAAGAAGGTAACGGCTCTGGTTGCCACAGCTCAACAAAAACCAACAAACAAACAGGAACTGGGCCATCCAAGGGGAACCATCAGCAGCCAAGTGCTCCCAGGTCATCATCGTCCAAGTAATCTACTTCCTTCGGTTTGCTTCCAACCAATTGAACCCAAAAAGGAAATCAGAAGAGAAAAGAGAATTTCTGTTTAAGCCCATCAGCATTTTTTAATTTGTCAGTCTTCCTCAGAATAATCATAGTGATGTTGTTGGCAAGCACAGAAGGAGCCAACCAAGCATTAGAGAAACGTCTGTTGTTTCTCTCCCTCCACAGATGGTAAACAATATAAGCAATGATAGAGAAACAAAAGTTTTTCTCATAAATTGCAGAGAATTGAGTGTCCAGAAAATCATAAGTTTGAAGTAAATTGGGCCTAAACAAAAAACTATCAAAAACCGGCAAAACTAACATAAGCACAGTAAAAGTATAGTCACATTCAAAGAACATGTGGAGATGAGATTCAAGCATGAGAGAGCAGAAAGAGTAGTTAGGGGAAGCCGACAATCCCCTACGAATAAGCACATCAGCACTCTTAAGTTTATTAGTAATTGTCATCCAAGCATAACAGTTGAACTTCAAAGAGCCATTCTTATGCCAAATAAACCTGTGCCAAACAACCTCCTCCAATCAGAGTAAAAGTGCCCACTAAAATGCTTAAATTTAGGATTGATAGACCCGTCCCAGGTGATAAAAGAGTTCTCCCCAATACCAATGTTGCAAACAGCAGAGAACAAAGAAGGAGGAAGAAAATCGGGAAACAACCAATTACCAAGATCAGTAAAATTACAAACCTCCTTAGCATTAAGCCTAGCATCATTGCAAATCTCCCCCAACAGATTGCCACCAAACCAAGGATCCCACTTGAATGAAAACTTGCAGTTACCGCCAACGAAGAATGAGAGAATGAGCCTAATTTTAAGAGCCACACCGCAAATTTCCTTCCGAAACCTAGAAGCAGTAATAGGAGGGGATTTAAAAGGAGATTCATATTTAGCCCTCAACCAAGAACCCGCCAAAGAGGGGAAATGATACAGTCTCCAAATGAAAGAGCAAGCAACAGCATAATAATAAGCATCAAAAGAAAGAATCCCAAGACCCCCAAACTTCTTAGGTTTAGTAATATTGCCCCAGGCAATAAGGTGAAGCTTCCTATCATTGATATTCCCATGCAGCAGAAACTTAGAGCAGATTTTAGAGATGAAAGAATGGCAAGCTTTCGGTATAATAGACCCACGAACCCAATATACAATAGTATTAGCAATAGCAAATTTCAGATATTGCAATCTACCAGCAAAGGATAAAAATTTGACCTTCCTGCCCGCAAAGAGGTCAGAAATCCTATTCATAAGGGGTTGAAAATGACTGAATTTAAGCCTCTTGGTAGAGATATGAATCCCTAAGTAAGTCAAGAAGATACTGATATGGTGAATACCCAGATAATCTGCCAAACAACTAGCAGAGGTAGCATCTTTGGAGAACATAATAGAACTTTTATTGGGATTGATATGGAGGTTAGAGGCTTCCCCAAAATGTGTTAAAATATCTTTCAAAATTCTAGCATTATCCACATTAGCTCTACCAAAAACTAAGAGATCATCCGCATACATGAGATGATTAATGTCCACTCCATTGCAGTTAATGCCTTTAAAACTAGGAGAGGCAAGGGAAGTAGAAAGAGCATCCATGGCAATACAAAATAACAACGGGGATAGAGGGCAGCCTTGCCTAAGCCCGGAAGTAGAATGGAAAAACTCCTCCAGAGAACCATTAATACAGATAGAGAAGAAAACATCAGTAATACACCCCTTAATCCACTTAATGAAGAGATCCAGAAACCCTTTGAGCTTCAACCTGTGAATGAGAAAGTCCCTAGAAAGGGAATCAAAAGCTTTCTTAACATCTAGCTTATCACAGAAAAGATTGCTACCATCTTTGAAATCTCTTAACATTTTAGTAGCTAGAATGATATTATCAGAAGAGCTCTGAGATGAAATGAAACCCGCTTGATTTTCTTGAATAATAGAAGGAAGAACAACCTTCAACCTATTAGCAATTAATTTAGCCACCACCTTGTAAAACATGTTGCATAAGGAGATAGGACGGTAATCAGAAATGTGAGAGGCATGTTGAATTTTGGGGATAAGAGCAATGGCAGTAGCCTTAGTGGCTCTAGGCATGAAGCCCGTAGAAAAGAAACTCCTAACAGCTTTACAAACTTGGGGCCCTAGAAAAACCCAAGTCTTCATAAAAATCATAGGTAAAACCGTTTGGCCCAGGAGTCGCAGAAGTTTTACCAGAGAAGAAAGCTTTCTTGATATCTTCATCAGAAAATGGCATAGTAAGAGAAGGCAGAAGCTCAGACGGAACCAACTTTCCCACAGGAAGAGTATCGCTCTCCCACAAACCCGAAGTGGGGGAATTAAACAACAGTTTAAAATGATTTAAGATAGCTTCATAGATGGTGGCATGTGAATCTCTCTGATGATGTTATAATTGTTCCTTGCTTTAATCTTGGCATACAAGAAGCCCAAATCATCCTCCCCTTTAGTTAACCAGTAAGCTTTAACACGTTGATTTATCCAAGAGGAGACCAAGCAGATTGTAAAGAGGATAGATAATCATTAACCCTTTTGAGATTGCTGTTAAGAGAAGGGCACAAAGGAAGCGATTGTAGATAATCTAAAATGGAAAGTTGTTGTCCCTGTAACTCTTTGACAGCAGTAGAAATTTAATTAGCTGAAACCCAATTCTTTCCTTTAATGGAATTCTTCAGAAGCCTAAGACAATGATAAAAGGAAGAAATTGGACTTCCAGTGTGCGGCCTATCAAAAGCTTTAAATACTTCATCCCAGAACACCTCAAATTTCACCCAGTAATTCTTAAACAAAAACATAGCCTTAGGAGTTAAGGAGGAATTGTTAAAGAAAATGAGAGGAGAGTGATCATAACCACCAGGAGGGGCGACTTTGTATTAAGCAGAATGAAATAGATTCAGAAGAGCCGGGTTAACCAACACCCTATCCAACTTAATATGAATCGGGTTATCAATCCTATGATTGAACCAAGTAAAAAGGAGCCCAATAGAAGCCAGATCCTGAACTTCGCAATCAAAAATACAGTTGTTAAGCTCACCAAAAGAGCTAGAATTACATGGTATACCCCCGACCTTCTCATAGTCAAATCTACAGCAATTGAAATCACCAAGGATGATCCAAGGCTGATCATCCGATGGAACCAGTTTACGAAGGTCATCCCAGAGAACTTTCCTATCTTGAACATTGTTAGCAGCATAAACAACAGATAATTGAATGGGAGGGGAAGTACCCGCAATAAAAGTTTCACTGAGCAATGGCTATGTAGTTCTATTGTTAGATCGCCTTATTCATGAATCATGACAACAATGATAAATTATTTTGTGCGGATATGGACGTCGTCCGGAGGCGAATCAGAATACATCATGTCATTTTTTTGTTGTGTATTGTGGCTATGCACCGAGTGATGTTTAGGGTTTACATTTGCCTCCGAATGGTTCGATGTCCGCACAGAATAATTTCTCTCATGAGAATTACTAAGTACAATGTTCTCCTCTCACTTGAAGTAAAATGATGAACATCATGTGTAATATGAGAATTGCTTATTTAATACTGCAAATGGTGCAATTCTTCGTTAATTTGGAATTGATTTGTCGTAGATATTTAGAGAATATATTATCATTTTTTGTCTAATCATGACTCCTTGATTGGAAAATAATTGACCATTGTAGAAATTTCAAATGCATTAAAAAATATCAATGTAATGGAGAGTGTAATTAAGTAAAATATGGCATCTAAAATGACTTGATATTTATTTATTTATCTGATCAAAATTTGGATTGGTTGTCTTTTAAATTTATTGAATAGGGCTTTGAGTACAATATGAAATATAAGTTAATTACATGTAGGTATTTGATTTCATATTTTTAAATTTATGATGGCTAAAATAGAAATATGAAAAATAACTTATAAGAATATGATATATCCTTTCATACATATATGAGTCATCATATCTCGTTATCTTTGTTGTGTTCTGGACTATTCGCGGTGGTAGATAAATATAAAGTTTAGCGTCTTAGTGTTGTATGAAGATCCAACACATAAGCAGAAAAGTGAGAGGGTGTAATAAGAGACACCTGAGTTTTTATGTGGAAACCCCTGAAAAAGGAGAAAAAACCACGGGGCATGGCCCAGTTTGAATGAATCCATTAGTATTTGTAGTCGATTATAAATGAGGCCCTTCATTGGGAGAAGGCCTTGGCTTGGTGGTACAAATGTACATCATATTTAACGTATTACATGGTGGGAGTTACAATATAAACATGTTTGTTTGGTCGGCATGATCATAGTCGATAGAATAGAGGTCGAAAAGACCATTATCTGGTGATGGAGGTCGGAAGGATCATAGTAGGTGATGGAGGTCGGAAGGACTGTAGTTGGGAAGAGATAAGGGTTCGAAAGACTGTAGTTGTAGGGTGGTACTTCAGTAGAACTCCATGTATCAGGCGGTGGTCTGGTAGAAGTTTGGGCCTCAAGTGGTGGTCTGACAGAAGTCTGGGCGTCACATGGTGGTCTGGGAGAAGTATGGGCCTCAGATGGTGGTCCGGCAAAACCTACGGCCTCAATTGGTGGTCAGGCGGAGCTTAGGGCCTCAGGTCGTGGTCCGGCGGAGCAACGATATCAGGCGGTAGTCCGGCGGAGATGAGGGATTTAAGTGGTGGTCCGGCGGAGCTCAGGGCCTCAAGTGATAGTTTTGCAGAGTTCAGGGCCTTAAGTAGTGGTCTGGCGGAGCTGAGTGCCTAAGGTGGTGGTCTGGTAAAGCAACGACGTCAGGCGGTGGTCCGACGGAGGTGAGGGCCTCAAGTGGTGGCCCGGCGGAGCAACGACGTCAAGCGGTGGTTTGGAGAAGGCGAGGGCTGACGTCGTTGCTCCGGTGGAGGTGAGGGCCTCAAGTGGTGGTCCGATGGAGCTTAGGGCCTCAAGCGGTGGTCTGGCGGAGCTCAGGGCCTCAAGTGGTGGTCCGGTGGAGCAAGGACGTCACGTGGTGATTTAGCGGAGATGAGGGCCTCAAGTGGTGGTCTGGTGGAGCTCAGGACCTATAGTAGTGGTCTGACGGAGCAACGACGTCAGACGGTGGTCCGGCGGAACAATGACATCAGGCAGTGGATCGGCGGAGCTCATTGCCTGAAGTGGTGGTCCGGCGGAAGTGAGAGCCTCAAGTGGTGGTCCGGCGGAGCAACGACGTTAGGCGATGGTCCAGCGGAACTCAGACAGTGGTCGAGGATAAGTGAGGAGGCAAGAGTGATTTCCGATCTCACGTTTGCTCTCTTGCTTGGAGCCTCCCCTTTCAAGAGAAAGGAGGGGTATATTTTTAGATTTCTGGAGTGGCATGACCCGTAAATATGTGATAAGTCAAGGGTAAATGGGGAGTGGTTGGATGAACGACCGATATTGAATCTCATGATCATAGACCATTCATCAGATATTTGAAGGTCTTATTGATGTTAGAATTCAGCAATCTTGGGCTCGTTAGATTCGTCTCGTCGAGCCCCTCGATCCGACTATAAGTACGTCATATTTGGAAACCATTTGGTAATCCAAATTGTGGTTCAAACCCTTCAACAACACTTCAGATCCTTGATTTGGACCCATTTGGGCTCAGATTGAGTCGAATTTAGTGTCTTTGGGTTAGTATTTTCGAGACGTTCAATTCAACTGTAAGTTTGCTGAAATTGGAGTTCATATGGTTCCAATTTTAATTTCGGAAGTTTCCAACTAGATTTTGCTTCAAGATTCTTGCCCGATGAAGATAATTTTTTGATGACATATCAATCTTATATTTTTTTGCAATTATATCTGACATTTATCATTAGAAGAATAAATACTCTTATCTCAATAAAATTATATTATAGTAAAAGATTAATAACTCAAAATCATTTTGCTTCTAAGCTGTGGCGGGGTCAGAAGTTTTTTTAGTAAGGGCACATATTAAAATTTTTAAAATATTTCTTTAAATTTTTTTATTCATGCTTGAGATCATAATTTATTTTTATATAAAAAAATATTATAAAGGACTGATTAAAAGAATAAATTTGGTTAATAATATTTCTTTTTAAATAAAAAATTAATAATAACATGAAAAATAAAAAATGAAAAATAATTATCATAGGAACATTATATTGTAGTAAAAGATTAATAACTCAAAATCAGTTTGCTTAATTCTATGCTGTGACGGTATCATAAATTTTTTAGTTGGGGTACATATTAAAATATTTTAAATATTTCTTTAATATTTTTCATTCATATTTGACATCGTAAATTATTTTCATATAAACAAATTTGAATCAATATGATTTTCTAATTATAATATTATGTTTATATAAAATAATAAAAAGCTTTTTAAAGGCATATTAATACATTTATATCAGATGATGCTAATTTTAATGCTTCTTAAATAAGCTTTTTAGTATAAAAATTAATTTTTTTTTCTTCAAAAAAATAAAAAATTTAAATAAAGATAATTAAGGGCAAGTAAACCATCCTAATCGAGTAATCGTTAATCGAAAAAATTTTCTCCTGAAAAAATCGAAATTATATAGTCAAACTTTCTGAGAACCGAGCAAAGAATCAAATGGCTCTCCTAATCTTCCTTTTCATCTTCGTCACTTTCCTCCTCACCTCTCTCCACCTCCTCTCCGGCAATCACCGGCGTCGAATACGCCGCCTGCCGCCAGGACCGAAAGGTTGGCCGATCATCGAAAACCTACCGCAACTAGGGCCCAAACCTCACCAGACACTACACGCCCTTTCGAAAACCTTCGGCCCAATCCTCAGCCTCCGTCTGGGCGCCGTCGACGTCATCGTCGCTTCCTCCGCCGCTGCCGCCTCTCAATTTCTCCGTACCCATGACGCAAATTTCAGCAGCCGGCCACCCAACTCCGGCGCCAAGCACGTCGCATACAACCACCAGGATCTCGTATTCGCACCCTACGGTGCGCGGTGGCGCATGCTAAGGCGTCTGTGCACCTTGCATCTTTTTTCCGCGAAGGCGATGGAAGATTTTCGGCACATTCGGGTCGAGGAGGCGGCGCAGCTCGTGCGGAGAATAGCGGAGAAAGGGGGAGAGGCGGTGGATATTGGTGGGGAGGTGAACACGTGTGTGACCAATGCGCTGGCACGTGCGACGGTTGGGCGGCGGGTGTTTGGGGAAAAAGGGGCGGAGGAGTTTAAGGAGATGGTGGTGGAGCTTTTGAGGCTCGCCGGAGTTTTTAACATTGGGGATTTTGTCCCCGGCTTGGCATGGCTTGATTTACAGGTAACTTTTCAAACGGCTAGGGCTCAGTTCATAAAAGAGTCAAATTTATGTCTCCTCCATGGAAAATATAAACTTTATTATAAGATTTAGGAGTTTACACATAATGAATTACAGGGAGTGGTGAAGAAGATGAAGAAGTTGCATAGAAGATTTGATGAATTCTTCGAAGGAATAATTGCTGAGCATAGAGAAGCAGAGGAGAAAGCTGATTCTGATGGAAAACGCAGCGATATGCTCAGCATTCTCATTGGATTAAACGAGGAAGCTAGTGGTGAAGGAATCAAGCTCACAGATAAAGGCATCAAGGCCCTCCTACTGGTAATATATATCCCTTTTTTGTTTTTGGTTATTTTCTTCTAATGTATTACTTCATATTTTATTGGTCTATGTAGAATCTTTTTGTAGCCGGAACTGACACAACATCGAGCACAGTAGAATGGGCTTTGGCCGAGCTAATCCGTCATCCAAATCTCCTAAAGCAAGCCCAAATTGAGCTCGACTCGGTTGTCGGATCCGATCGGCTCGTCTCTGAGTCCGACCTCCCCAACCTTCCCTTCCTCCAAGCCATTGTCAAAGAAACCTTCCGCCTCCATCCCTCAACCCCACTCTCCATTCCGCGCATTGCTTCCAAGGATTGTGAGATCGATGGCTACTTGATTCCTGAAGGTTCCACTCTCTTGGTTAATGTATGGTCCATTGCACGTGACCCATTCATGTGGCCCGACGAGCCATTAGCTTTTCGACCTGAGCGTTTTCTTGTGGGCGGTCTACACGAGGGAGTAGATCTCAAAGGGAATGATTTTGAGCTCATTCCGTTTGGTGCCGGGCGGAGAATTTGTGTAGGATTGAGTTTGGGTTTGAGAATGGTTCAATTCTTGACTGCGACATTGATTCATGCCTTCGATTGGGGTTTGGTCCAAGGACAAATGGTAGAAAATCTTGATATGGAAGAGGCTTATGGGCTCGGTCTTCGTAGAGCTGTGCCACTAGTCTCTAAGCCTACGGCTAGGCTATCCCCAATGGCCTATACTAAAAATGCTTAAGTTGGCTTGTTCGTTAATTTAAGACATCGAACTTTATTTTTAAGACTGTGTGAGTAGGGAATATTATGTAACTAAGGTTTTGTTTGGAACAGCTTTTTTTATGCTTTTAAAATGACTTTTTAGTATGAAATTTTAATTTTTGTATTAAAAAATTATTTTAAGAAGTAATAAAATGTCATCTCAAACGAAGCCTAAGATTACCTTTTGCGAAATTTAGTCTTTGAAATTAATGAGTTTTTTTTAAGCTTCTGGCAGTGACACTTGGAGCTTTTGAGCTTATTTAAAAATATATAATTAATTTTAAAATGTTAAAATATATTATATAAGTTTAATTCAAATGAATTTTTAAATATATTGTATGTTATATGGAGTAGCTCAATGAGCTTTCGAGTTGAGTCAAATTGAGCTTCAACTCGTTTAATATACGAGCTCAAGTATAAGCTCGAACTCGAACTCATGAGCTCGTTAACGAGTTGAACTTGAGCCGGCTCGGCTCACTTACAATACTACACCCATTCATACATATATGAGTCATCCTTTCCAGCCTGCTATATAACTCATCAACACTAATAAGTGCCTACTATATATATTGAACTTGCATTTTCCCCATGCTAATCGGTGAATACTTCCGGTCCGTTTTATATAATCAACATGTTTGAAATCAATACATTTCTTCATTAGACGACTCATATTGTTTCCCATGATCATAGAGCATTTAATTGCCTTATTGATGTTAGAATTAAGCAATCTTAGGCTCGTTGGATTCGTGTCGTTGAGCCTCTCTATTCTACTTTGAGCATGCTATTTTTGGATACTATGCATGTGGCCTTCCAATTAATGCTTTGAATCTTTCAAATATGCTTTAAGCCCTTGATTTGACACAATTTGGGGCTCGAATTGAACTGATTTTCGTGTTGTTGGGTCTGTCTCACTGAAACTTTCAATTTGACTATAAATTTGTTGGAATTGAAGTAGGGGTGATCCCAAATTTAAATTTGCACGTTGTCAACTTGAATTGGCCTCAAGATTCCTGCTTAATCAAGGCTATTTTTTATGAGGTTTCAAAGCTAATGTTAAATTTCTTATAATTAATAAAACTGAATACATAATAATTACCCATTGACTGAAAAATATATTTAAAAATTAAATTGTCCCGTTATAAAAATAATAAGTGATATAAATTTACATTATATCCCTAAATATAAGAATGTAAAAAATTGACTTTTTTATTAATAAGTAAAAATAAATTAAAATTTTCAAATAAATAAAGACAAATATTTGTTTAGTAATATATATTTTATTTCCTACAATACACATGATTTTTTTTTTTTTAAATCTTGCTGAAAAAAATATTCAATAATTAACATCATTCAAATCTTCTAAAAATTACTTTAAAACTAAAATAAATTTACCTTCACTAAGTGAAATTCTCTCCTTAATCTTCTCTAGCTGCTGCCTTGACTGATCTTCCCAATAGGTGTATTCTATTATTCTCGCTCTCCACTAGGCCTGCAAACGAATTGAATCGAATCGAGTATGTGAGTGTTCATGTTTGAGTTTGTTTATTATTAACTTGTTCAAGTTCGGTTTATTGAGCTTCAAATGATATTGTTCGTGAACATAAATGAACCGAACACATTAGTGTTAATCTTGTTTATTTAAGGATCAATTATTAAAAATGTTGTTCAAGTTTGTTTGTTTAGTTAGTTAAACGATCACAAACAAGTTTTAATTCAGCCGAGCAACAAGTAGCTCATCGAATGTTTAGTTCGCTTGCAGCCCTACTCGCCACCACTCTCCTCACTCACCACCATTTGTATTGCTCGAGATTTAATGTTAAAACACACACACACACACACACACACACATATATATATATATATATGGAACGTTAGGTGCTTCGAACGTGGGCTTGCGGGAGGAAAAGTTTCGAGTTCACTAACAAGCCGGTGTGTGAGCCCCAAAGCCTATAATTCATTCACAATTTTGTTAATTGGAGTAATTAGTTGGCAATGGGAGACTAGGCGAATGAATGAGGGTAATTCCAGGAAAAATGATAAAATAATGTACAACTGATTGAGCGGAATGTTAGATCAGGCGAGAACATGAGGAGCACCGGAAATGATTGGTGGAACGTGGGGCACACCAAAGACTTACGAGGGAGAGATTATTACGTGCGGAGGCAATTCATGTCAAGAGGCCTCTACACTGACGTGTTGAGATTGACCTCCGAATACGTCTTAACACGCACATAATATCTTACCAGGAAACTAGAAAATAGTTTTCCGGATTCAATGGGTCATTTTCTCTAAAACCGAAATTATATTTCACGCTTTCTTATAATATAATTTTATTTTAAATTAATACATAAACGTAATTCTTCAGGTGAAATAAAATGTAAACCTTGCCCTTATTTTAATATAAACTGCGAAGGCAATCCCAGCCGCAGCTCCAACCAGTCCAGGCGGATCCGACGGGCGTCCGCCCAACTTTCATAGATTTCCCATGCATAAAGCACGTGACAACCAGTCTACCATTGCTTTAAACACTTGGCCTTTTGTTATGGGTTATAAATGCTGTACGCTGTTCACACAAAAAAAAAAACTCACGAGCCCGCCATCCGTTTCGAGCTACCGTTCAACGCAACACCTAATTTTTTTCGGAGACGAATAGAAAGAAATTGTAACATTTCTTCAACTCATATAATCTTTTTCATGATATTAAATAAAAATAAATAAAAACAATTAAAAATAAAAAAAGCTTGAAAATTGGTGAAATAAAACATTCATTTATACGTAAACCATCTCGGAACCAACCGTCAAACTTACCTCCTCATTAAAACGGCAAATAGGCTTCTTTAAATGAATTAAATTTATAGACAAAAAATTTAAAAATGATTACGTTATAGAGGTTTTGAGATAAGAGCTCATGAAATGCACCAATCTTGATGTAATTTAAGGGCTGTTAAACCATTCGAATCGTTAACCATTTTTTTTTCGACAATATGAAATATGAAGTAGGTATGAACAAAAATTCTCTTTATATAGTATACCTTCTGAGTACTGAGGAAAGAATCAAATGGCCTTACTGATCTTTGTCTTCCTCTTCGTCACTTTCATCCTCGCTTTCCTCCGCCTCCTCTCCGGCAATCACCGCCGTCTGCCGCCGGGGCCGAAAGGTTGGCCGATCATCGGGAACCTTCCGCAACTGGGCCCCAAACCTCACCAAACCTTACACGCCCTTTCCAAAACATTCGGCCCGATCGTCAGCCTCCGTTTCGGCTCCGTCAACGTAGTCGTGGCCTCCTCCGCCGCCGCCGCTTCACAATTTCTCCGCACACAGGACGCAAATTTCAGCAACCGGCCGCCCAACTCCGGCGCTGAGCACGTCGCATACAACTACCAGGATCTCGTATTCGCACCGTATGGTGCGCGGTGGCGCATGCTGAGGCGTCTATGCGCCTTGCATCTATTTTCCGCGAAAGCGATGGAAGATTTTCGGGACGTGCGGCGAGGGGAGGTGGATGAGCTCGTGCGGGAGTTAGCGAAGAAGGTTGGAGAGGCTGTAGATGTTGGTGGGGAGGTGAACACCTGTGCGACCAATGCGCTGACACGTGCGACGGTGGGGCGGCGGGTGTTCGGGGGAAAGGATGAGAGGGAAGGGGCAGAGGAGTTTAAGGAGATGGTGGTGGAGCTCATGAAGCTCGCCGGAGTTTTTAATATAGGGGATTTTGTCCCCGGCTTGGCATGGCTTGATTTACAGGTAACTCTAGCTTCAACCAGCTAGGGCTCAGTTCAACGAGTCAAATTTATGTCTACTCCATAGAAAATATAATAATGTAATAAAGACTTAAACTTTACTAAAATTTAAGAGTTTACACATACTGAATTACAGGGAGTGGTGAAGAAGATGAAGAAGTTGCATGGCAGATTTGATGAATTCTTCGATGGAATAATTGCTGAGCATAGAGAAGCAGAAGAGAAAGCTGATTCTGATGGAAAGCGCAGCGATATGCTCAGTATACTCATTGGACTAAAAGAGGAAGCTGGTCGAGAAGGAATCAAGCTCACAGATACAGACATCAAGGCTCTCCTACTGGTAATATATTTCACTTTTTTGTTTTTGGTTATTTTCTTCCTATATGCTCCTCATGCTTTCTACTGGCCTTCATGGAATACAGGTTTCCTACGTTTCTACTACTTAGGCTTTTTTTGGCAGAGATTATTACGTAAGGAGTTCATTAAAAGCACGGTGTGCACAGTAATTGAACTTTTACTATTCAAACTCATAAAGTCTGAACATTTCTAATGTCCAGATCTCAAGCCGTACCAAATAAAACCTTATAAATCTGATTATATTTCTATGTCAGAGAATGATAATTTTATAAAAGAGATAATCAGATGCGCACGTAAACCAATTTCATAAATAAAGTGGTTCAAATAATTAAAAAAAAAAGAAATTAGCGGGTAATAATTAGGTTAGGATATATATATCAAATATTCGATCAAATTGGTCTTTATATTTATGCATTATGTTTATCTCAAAAAAAAAAAAATTTTTTTTTTTTAAAATTTATCGCGATTCAAACTAGCTATCTTTTGATATGAGTATCCTATAAGAAAATTTAAAATATTTCTTATATCAACAGTCATTTTCCTAGACTTTTGAAGAACAAATTCACATTCACACTATATGCAAGACTTTAAATCCAAATTTCTTTGATTAGAACGCATATACTTTATAATATTATTATTATTTTTGGAAATATTTAGATCATTTAAGTCAGACTCATAAATACAACATACATAGATTGATAATCAAAACTTCCAACCAACAAATTAAAATAGGCTGCATAATATTAATATTTTAAATATCATGTTTTAAAGTACCCATAACAAATACTATGGGCCCAGTTAGAAGGTAAAGGATTTAGAAAGAGCACAGTTTATTAACATTGCAAATATGATTAAAAAAAAAGTGTACCATTTAAATCTTGGATTGATTACTCTTCCAATAAATTATTTATTATGCTTTAATATTAGAAATTTTCTCCCAAAAAAATTACAATTTTGACCTTTGACTACCTTTATTTATCTATATATTTTACATTCGTAGCAGTTCTGCGTATTTTGTGTAACAAAATATTATGCATTTTTACTCTAACGTATTGCTTCATATTTTATTGGTTTATGTAGAATCTTTTTACAGCTGGAACTGACACAACGTCGAGCACAGTAGAATGGGCTTTGGCCGAGCTAATCCGTCACCCAAATCTTCTAAAGCAAGCCCAAATTGAGCTCGACTCGGTTGTCGGATCCGATCGGCTCGTCTCTGAGTCTGATCTCCCCAACCTTCCCTTCCTCCAAGCCGTTGTCAAAGAGACCTTCCGCCTCCATCCCTCAACCCCACTCTCCCTTCCACGCATTGCTTCCAAGGATTGCGACATCGATGGCTACTTGATTCCTAAAGGTTCCACTCTCTTGGTTAATGTCTGGTCTATTGCACGGGACCCATCCATGTGGCCCGACGAGCCACTAGCTTTTCAACCTGAGCGTTTTCTTATGGGCGGTCTACATGAAAGAGTCGATCTCAAAGGGAATGATTTTGAGCTCATTCCGTTTGGTGCTGGGCGGAGAATTTGTGCAGGTTTGAGTTTGGGTTTGAGAATGGTTCAATTCATGACCGCGACGTTGATTCATGCCTTCGATTGGGGTTTGGTCGACGGACAAATAGTCGAGAAGCTCAATATGGAAGAGGCTTATGGGCTCACTCTTCGTAGAGCTGTGCCTCTAGTCGCTAAGCCAATGACTAGGCTAGCCCCAAAGGCATATCCTAAAGATGTTTAAGTTGGCTTATTCGTTTAGGGTTTAGGCATCAAACTTATTATTAAGATTGTGTGAGTAGGAAATATGAAGTAAATGAGGTTTTGTTTGGCATAGCTTTCTTATCATTTTCTAAAGCAACTTTTAGTACAAAAATTTATTGTTCAATAAATTTTTGAACTAAAAAACTGATTTAAAAAACAGTAAAAAGCCGTCACAAACAAACTTAAGATTATCTCTTTTTTTTTTACTTGAAGTAAGTTTTAAAAAAGTTTTAAGGTACTGATATGGGTATTGTTATGAAACGTAAGATGTATTCCATAAATGAGACTACTTAAAGAAATTTAGTCTTTGAAATGATATGATATGTGTTGACTAATGTGCATTTTGCTATTGGTGCATAGTCAAATACAACATTTTCATTTAATTGTTTGATTAGGATGTTAAATGCTTTTGCTTTTAGAAATTGAGTTGCAATTAGGGTTGTTATCGAGTCAAGCAGATCCTCTAGCTAGCTAATTCGTGCTAGTTTGATAAATAGCTCATCAGCTGAGTACAATGAGTCAATGAGCAAAGAATACACTTTCAATATATTATAATTCAATAGTTTAAAAAAATAATTAAAAATTATATCTCAAATTTTATTTATCTAATAATTCTTAATTATTTTTAGGCTCTTTGTTTATTGTTTTTATCATTTTATAACAATAAATCCTTGAATAATAATAATATTTTTTCTTTTATAATAAATGAGCGAGTTGTGACTTAAACTTAGAATTGCGATTGAGCACATACTCGAACTCAATTAATTAATTAAGCTCATACTTAAGTTGAAGAGCTTAGCTCAACTCATTCACATAAAATAATACAATATAATATAAAATAAAAAGACTAAAAAAGTGATTATTTTTGTTCTAATGCATGATTCAATTGTCATATTAATATATCAAAATCAGAATAATTTTTAGATTTAATAACCCTAAAATATAAGTAAAAAATGAAAAAAAAAATCCCATTTATTTTCTAGTTCACAATACATACTTAGTTCAACTTGCGATCATACTCATATTTAAAAAAAAAAATGTTATTATAATTGCATTTTAAATAAATATAAATGACAAATATTTTCTTTGATAACAAATAAATAATTGATTTTTAAAAAAATATTCTACTTTTTTCCCACATTAAAAATTTCCTATAATCTTTGACGTTTTGCCATTCTAATGTTCTGTATTATATAGTACCTTCTAATCCAATGTTCTAACAAATATGGGATTTGGCCCTTTGTTTTAGCTCCAATGAAAATAGTATTGGAATAATATATTTAAGTTATATATTTTATTTTTAAGAAAATATCACTAAAGTAGTCTCCTAATTTTTTTCTAAATGATCAAAATAATCTCTAATTATATTAAAATATTAATTTGATCAATTGACTCTTTAAAAAAAAGATCAAATTAGTCATCCCTTAAAATCATTTAAATCCTTATTCAAGAAGTTAAATGACTAAAATGTGATTTTTAAATAATTAAAAATTATTTTCATTACTCTAAAGACTTAAGAGACTGTTTTAAATAATAAAAAATTTACTTAATTTTATCTGTTAGAAATATAATAATAATATTAATAAAAAACAAGATAATGTGAAAGAGACAAAAAAGAAGGGAACCAACTCGCGGTGGCTGTATGGCTTATTTTATGTTAAATTTTATTGCGCATTTAACTTTTTGGTAAGTCCTGCGTGAGCTCTCTTTATTTTCTTTTAATTTTTTTTTTTTGGCCTTTTAGGTGTCAATTGAGCTGCCATTTTTTTAATGAAATAAATAAATAAATAAATGGAGGTATTTATGGTTTCGTGTCCTTCTAAATTTTTTACATTTGTAAGGGTTACATAATATTTTAAATATAAATATTTGGTAAAACTAATGTCTACGTTATTTTTTGGACGACTAAATGCAGGTATTTACGCGTGTCATTTAAATTATTGAGATTTTGACAAAAAAAAAGAAAATTACATATTTTAATTTCGTTATGAAATTTTATATTTAGGTGATAATTTTTAAAAAAATTAAAATATGAGAATATTAATTTTTATAAATAGCTGTGATACTTGGCTAAAAATTAATATGATCAAGCATAAATCTCAAGGCATATTTGAATTCAGGGCAATTTAAACTCTGATTCCATTACATTTAGAACTAAGTATTTCAACAGTAGAAACCCAACGATACTAAAATTGATCCAATCCGATCCCAAATGGACCCAAATCAAGAAACTCGATATATCATAAAAAAATTATCTTGATCGGGCACGAATCTCAATGCAAAATCAAGCGGGAAACTTCCAAAATTAATATTGGGACCATCCGAACTCCAATTTCAGCAAAATTATAGTCGACCTGAACATCTCGATAATACGAACCTAACGACACCAAATCCAACCCAATATAAGCCCAAACGAGTCCAAATCAAGGGTTAAGAAGAGTTGTTGGAAGGTTCGAGCCACGATTTGAATTACCAAACAGTTTCCAAACAAAATGTGCTTATAGTTAAATCGAGCGGCTCGACAAGATGAATCCAACGAGCCCAAGATCACCAAAATCCAACATCACAAAGACATTCAAATGTCCATCAAACGGTACATGATCAAGGGATTCAACATCGACCGTTCATCCAATCACTCCTCATTTACAATTTTTCACCTATTTACGGGTCATGCCACTCCATAAATCTATAAATAAACCCCTCATTTCTCTTGAAAAGGGATCCAAAGCAAGAAGAGATGAGAAGAGAAGAAAGAGAAGGAAGAAGCTCCTTCTCGACTAACGCCGGACCTTCGCCGAATCACTGCCGAAGATTCGCCGGACCACCGCCGGAACTTTGCCAGACCACCACTTGAGGCCCTCGCCTTCGCCGAACTACTACCTGAGGCCCTCGCCTTCGCTGGACCACCACCTGAGGCCCTCGCCTTCGCCGGACCACCACCTGAGGCCCTCGCCTTTGTCATACACTACTTGACACCCTATGCTCCACTAAGCCACCACCTGACGCCTAGAGTTCTGCCAGACCACCACATGAGGCCCGAAGTTCTACCAGACCATTACCTATCACTCGAATTTCTGTCGTACAGTTGATACTTGTAATTTGATCGCCCTTGAAGGCGAGCCAGCCCATTGTAACCAACTCAAGTTCTAATGGAATCATTTTCAACTGTGTCATGCCCCATGGTTTTTCCCTTTTTCTAGGGCTTTCCACGTAAAAATCCCGTGTTCTCTGTGCGTGATATGTATATCTGTGCAACGCTAAGACGTAGTATTCTAACTCTATCGCCACGTATATTCTAGCAGTAAAAAAGCCGTCTCAAATGAAGCCTAATATTATCTTATGTAAAATTTGGCAAAAGTTCAAAAAGTTTTGAAGCTATGATATGGGTATTGTTATGAAATATAAGGTGTATTTCATAAATTAGCTTTATGAAATTTAACCTTTGAGATCAATTCGTTTTCTTAAGCTTCTTGCAGTGACACTTGGAGCTTTTGAGCTTCATTTATCATCCACTCCTGCATTAAGTCTAAGCTTATTAATAAAATACTGCTATATTGATATAAAAATTATAAAATCTTATTATTTCTCCATCAAACGGCTGAGCTTTTTCATGGCCTCAATGGAATCATGTGAACTGTATTAAATGAATAGGGACGCCACCACCCCGCTATATAATTTGTCAAATGCCTGTGCCAATCGGCGAAGGGCTGTGTAATACTTTTGGTCCGCTGATTTCTCCATCAGGCGACTTATATGGATTCCATCGATCATCAAGGGTTTATAAAGCATTAATTGCCTTATTGATATCAGAATTAAACAATCTTAGGCTCGTTAGCTTCGTCTTGTCAAGCCTCTCGATTCAACCTTAAGCATGTTATATTTGGATGCTAAATTTACATTATATCTAAGAATGCAAAATTATGAGTTTTTTTTTTTAAATAAGTAGAAATAAATTAAAAATTTCAAATAAATAAAGACAAATATTTGCTTAGTAATATATATTTTTAATAATTAATAACTCGGCTACTAAGATCAACAGAAAATGAAAATAAATATAATTATACCAGAAAATGAATATATTTTTAATAATTTTATTCGACCGACTATTTATTTTAATATAAAATGCGAAGGCAATCGCAGCCGCAGCTCCAACCAACCACTCAAAGGCGAACCCGACGAGGCGTCCGTCCAGCATAAAGCACGTGACTACCACTGCTTTTAGCACCTGGACTTTTGTTGGTTATAAATACTGTACGCTGTTCATCTCAAAAAACAAAATCACAATCCCACCATCCGGTCCACTGTCAGTCTCCCGCTACCGTTCAAACCAAGGAAAAATTATAACCTCTCCAACCCAAGCCAAAATAATGAAGTGCAACGCGCCACATCATCAATATATTATGTATTATTAACGTGTAATATTGTATGTCGCATGACGCGCACGTCTTGATTGGCCTCCGATTTGTGAGGAAGATAGGGAGCTCCCGCCTCCTGTCGCTACTTCTAGTTCCGGCAGCACTATAACAATAGCAACTTAACTCACGCAAAAAGACGCAACGATGACGACAATGTGCACACGAAGTTGAAAGTGACGCGACTCAGCACGTCGGGCAACACGAGCAGTCCAATTTTCCTTTTTTCAGGTCATTTTTTGGGTTTTTGGATCAACCTGAACCCAACTCGATTTATGAAACTAATTGATTTGTTGAATCCGAATCCTAAACCCATTTCACAAACAGGTTAACCATAAAATTATTTTTTATCGACAAAAAAAGAGAGCGATGAAAGATGAAGTAGGTTTAAGAACTGGTGAACAGAAATTCTCTTTATATAGTACACCTTCTGAGAACAGAGAAAATAATCAAATGGCCTAACTGATCTTTGTTTTCTTCTTCGTCACTTTCATCTTCGCCTTTGTCCACCTCCTCTCCGGCAATCACAGGCGGCGGGTTCACCGCCGTCTGCCGCCGGGGCCGAAAGGTTGGCCGATTATCGGGAACTTTCCGGACCTCGGCCCCAAACCTCACCAGACCTTACACGCCCTTTCCAAAACATGTAATAAGTTTTTTATTTTTCTCGCAATAAGTTTTAAAAAGTTTAAAGGACTGATATGGGTATTGTTATGAAATGTAAGATGTATTTCATAAATGAACCTATTTAAAAAAAAATTAGTCATTGAAATGATGTGATAAGTGTTGACTAATGTGCATTTTGCTATTGGTGCATAGTCATTTACAACATCGTCATTTAATTGTTTGATTAGGATGTTAAATGCTTTTGCTTTTAGAAATTGAGTTGCAATTAGGTTTGTTATTGAGTGGAGCAGATTCTCTAGCTATCTAGTTTGTGATAAATAACTAATCAGTTGAACTCAATGAGTCGACTAAACTGTTATTATTGCTAAAATTTTTTAATTATTTTTAGGCTCTTTGTTTATTATTTTTATCATTTTATAACAATAAATACTTGAATTATAATAATATTTTTTCTTTTATAATAAATGAGCAAGTTGTGACTGACTTGTGACTTGAACTTATAATTGCGCAGATTCTCCAGCTAGCTAGTTCGTGCTCGATTTGATAAATAACTAATGAGTTGAACTCAATGAGTCGACGAGCAAAACTAGCTTGAGTCAATAGCGTCTTATTTACTTGTGAGCTAACTCGTTTAAAAAATAATAACAAAAACACACTTACAATATATTATACTTAAATAGTTTAAAAATAAAAATTATTAAAACTGTTATAAAATGATATCTAATAATTTTTAATTATTTATAGTCTCTTCATTTATTATTTTTATCATTTTATAACAATAAATAATTGAATTATAATAATATTTTTTTTCTTTTATAATAAAAGAGCAAGTTGTGACTAACTTGTGACTTGAACTTATAATTGCGCTTGAGCACACTCAAACTCAATTATTTAATAAAGGTCATACTTAAGTTAGCGAGCAACTCATTCACACCCTTTGTTGCGATTAAGACCAATACTCAATACATAAAATAATACAAATAACATAAAATAAAATGACCATAAATGTGATTATTTTTGTTCTAATGTAGGATTTAATTGTCATGTTAATATATAAAAATCTGATTTTTTTTATTTAATAAACCTAAAAAATGAGTTGATATATCATCAAAAAATTATATTGATCGGGCATAAATCTCGAGACAATTAAGTTAGAAGCTTCCGAAATTAAATTTGGAGGCATATGAACTCTGATTTTTACAAACTTATAGTTGAACTAAATGTCTTGAAAAGACAAACCCAACGACACCAAATTCGACTCAACTCGAGCCCAATTGAGTACAAATCAATGACCTGAAGCACATTTGGAAGGTTCGAAATATAATTTGGATTACCAAACGGTTTTCAAATGTGACATGCTTATAGTCGAATCAAGTGGCCTGACGAGACGAATCCAACAAGCCCAAGATCGACGAATTATGATATCATTAAGACATTAAAATACTCAATTAACGGTCCATCATCAAGGGTATAAACATCGGTCGTCCATTCAAACCACTCACAACTTACCCTTTTTCTTCCTCATATTTACTAGCCATGCTACTCTAAAAAAACTATAAATATAACCCTTCATTTCTCATGAGGGGGGGGGGGGGACCATCAGACACCTCAACTGCTGCCGGACTTCCACCAGGCAACCGATCGACGTCAGAACGCCAGACTTTTACCCGACCACCAATTGACACTAGACTTACACTCGACCGCCGACTGACACTGAACTTCCACCCGACTTCCTATTATTCTTGGACTTCCACCTGACAACAATTTTACCAACCTCCATCGTCCACAGACTACGATCCTTCTGACCTCCTTCGCCCACTGATTAACACCAAACTTCCACCCGGCTTCCAATTATTCTTGTACTTCCACCCGACAACGATCCTTCCGACCTCCGTCGTAAGACAAAGATATTTCCGACCTCTGTCGCCCGCCGATTGACGTTGGACTTCCACCCAACTCCCAATTATTCTTGGACTTTCATCCAACAATGGTCATTCTAACCTCCATCTCCAAACAATGATCTTTATGACCTCCATCGCCCGCTGATTATGGCCCTTTAGACCGCCATCGCCATACAACGATCATTCCGACCTCCATTGCTCGCCGACTAGAGTCCTTCCAACTTCCATTGCCATACAACAATTTTTCTAACCTTCGTTGTCTGTCAAATACGGTCCTTTTCGACCACAGTCACCCGACTATGATCTTTCCAACCTCCATCATCCACCAACTATGATCCTTTTGACCAAACGAACACGTCTATAATATATTACCACAATGTAATTCACTCCATATGATATATATTTGTTACATCAAGTCAAGGCCTTCCACTCAAGGGCCTCATTTATAATCAACTACAAATACTAATGTATTCATTCAAACTTGTCCAGGTACATAATTTTTCCAATTTTTAGGATTTTTCACATAAAAAACTTGGTATCTTTTAAATGTTGCATCCTTTATTTTACCTGAGGGTGTGCTGAATCTTCATACAAAACTAAGACATTAAACTATATATTTTGAATATTCCAGAACGCAACATGAGTAAAAATGAAAAAATAAAAATAAATATTTTTCTAGCTCTCAACACATTTAGCCCAACTTTTGATCATACTAATATATATATTTTTAAAAAAATTTGATATTATAATTGCATATTAAATAAATATAAATGATAAATATTTTCTTTAATAACACAATTATAAAAATTCCACATCATAAATCTTACTAATATTTACCAATTTAAATATGACCTGTGATAGCACATCGTCTTGAAGGTTAATCAGTCAAGCCTTAATGAGATGCTTCAATAGAGTATTGTTGCTCGAGTCCAAGATAACAATCAGAAACCAACAGAAGCTTCGTTTCCTAACACAGTGAGGGAAAAAATTAGATCACCAGAAAAAAAAAAGTCTTAGGCTTTATTGGGGACAACTTCATTAGTGCTTTTATAGCAGCTTTCTAGTATAAAAATTTTAAGTTCAAAAAATTTTTGTACTAAAAAATTTCTCCTAAATGAATTTTTATTCTCTCAGGTTACCTGATATAGCTCTACGTCAGGTAGCCAATAATATGTCAC